AAGTTTTGGGGTACATTCCTTAATGAGTAGATAAAAATCTCATTATTTCTGCTATTTTTATGTAAATAGATGTTTCTTCAGAAGTTAATCGCTACTGCTTCTCAGATAGTTACAACAATGGCAAAAGCCCTCTAAATCCTCTCATCTCTATTAATGATGCTACTCTTCTTCCTCAGATTATTTGGCCTTGAATGGAAACCAGTGGTCCTCTCTACTGATCTCCCTCAAATATTAACGAATGAGGTCAGACAGAGTGCCATGTGCTTTTATTCATGCTACTCTTCTTTATCCTTGGGACAGCCCTAAGCCGGAGGTGATTAATCCCCTTTTTATAGAAGAGGAAACTCCTTGTCTAGCAAAGTAATTGTAAATAGCTCAACCTGGCGTTTGGTAATCTGTTATCAGGAGATCGCCTCAGCCTTCTCTCCACGTACTCCCGTATTGATATCCTGAAGTTCGTACTGTACCATCTTTTCCCAGGGCTTACCCTCTCCTCGCTGCATTCAGTGTCCCATTCATGCCTGGGTTTCTCCTCTGCGCTTACTTATTTGGTTCAAAGTGTTAAGTGTCCTTTGTCTAATTTTCTCTTTTCTCTGATCTTGTGTAGCACTGAAGGTATGATGTGCTGGCATTAATTAAAAAAAAAAATCTGTTGATGACCCATTTTACAGATAAGGAAATTAAGGCACAGGTAGGTTAAATAGTTTGCCCTTGGGCATAAAACTAGAAATGCAGAAAACTGGTGCAGATTGCTCTTGTGGCTGTTTGGATTTGATGGAGGACAAATTGGATACAGGGAGAGACCATTTAAGAGGATATTCTAGTCATCTAGATGATTGAAGTCTGAACTAAGTTGATAATAGGAGTGGACAGAAAAAGATGGAGAATATGAGAAGGATTTGGAAATTGTAAGAATTGGCATGGGGGAAAGGATTCAAATTAGTTTTTTAATGAGGTTGGTGGTCAGCCTAGGTTTCACTGAGAAGGTGGCATTTATATATATTTTTTCATATTTTTACTCTCAAACCTCCTGTTTGTCCTGAGTAAAACATTTAATGATCAAAGGGGATTTCAGCTGGGAATAACCCACAAGCTTTATACTCCCTCTTGTCAGAGATCTGGGACTAAGCAGTTTTCTTACCAATAAAATGGAGATAATACTAACCTTATGGGGATATTTCATGACCCAAATGAGAGAGCAACTGTTCTTATAGGGGCTTAGTAACGTTAGCTTCTCATTCATTTGACACCTGTGTACTGCTTAAGCTCACTACTGTGTCAGCTTTAGGGAAACAGCAACAGACAAGACCCACAAAGTCTTTCTTTGCAATGAACACAGAATTTAATAAGGGAGATTGCAAACAAGATTATTAAAACTGTCACAGATCTCACAAAGGCGAAGCCTGAGGAAACTGAGAGTGGGGGGAATCCATGAAAGGTGGGGACCCATGAAAGGTGTCCCTGAGGATATGACATTTTAGCTGGGTATTTAAGGATGAGTAGATGTTTTTCTTCCTTGGTTTTTTATTGCAATATTTGTAGCAACCTAAAGCAAACGAGTACTCAGGACTCTTCAAACCACACCATTGCTGCCCTGTCTAAAGCTTCTGTTTGTACGAGCAGATACATTCTTTTTCTTCAAGTTCATAATGTGCATATGGTAGAAGGAAATGGTCTTGGGAGTCAGGAGGCCTGTGTTCTGTTTGCTGATCTGCTACTTCTCCTGTGTGTATAAGCAGGTTATCCTAAGGAGGGAATGCCTTCCTATGCAGCAGACCTCGCTTCAGCTCTGTGTGGACCGAGGCCAGCTATGCCGTTCTCTGGCATTTGCTTTTGTTACTCTCAGATCTGTAGGTTCCAGACCAGCCCTGACCAGAGTTTCTCACAGCCGCTTTTCATGTGTTCTCTTGACAGGCCCATCTTCCCAAGCTCAGTGATGTTTCTAGTGCTCTGGAGAATATTTAAGAGGGGCACCTAATGGACATACCTTTCCTCCTTCTCTGTTTCCTTGCCTTTTTTTTTTTTTTTTCCGGTCTTGGATAGAGCAACAAGTTGCTGTGTACTTCTGTGTCCGGCTTGATCTTCTTTAGCACTTGTGAGGTAACTGGTGTGACATGTGCACCTCGTTCCTCAGTCTTACAAAGACTGCTCACCAAACCCTGAAGTAGTGGCAGAAGAGGGACTGTCATGGAGTGCACAGGCCAACCAGCACCTTTCAGACAAAAGCAGGCCACGGCATGTCACGGCCTCGCTTGCCTGGAGAGCCGTGCTTGTTCTGTGATGGATTTATGTGTGTTCATTCATTCATAAGCACGGTGGTGCCGTGATCTCAGCATGGGAAGCTCAAGCACTCATTGGAATAGGCCTGTAATGATGAGGAAGCCATTTCATCTCTCTGGGGCCTACTGTCCACTTTGTACAGTGGAAGTTAAAATAATTTATGTTGAGATGAAGTAAGGTGATACATCTAAGAGGGCCTCCCAGTGTATTTGTACCTCAGGGTCCACAAACGTTTGTGTGTTTTAAAAATCCATCCCAGGCTCAAGTATGTGTGCCTGTGTGCATAGCTATGATATTTATGAAACGAGGGTCATAATGCTTGTTCTTTACTACCTTGTATGACTGTGCAGGGCAGAGAATAGCGTAACAAGAGCGGTACCATAAATTTAAATGCTTTTGGCTTTTAAGTTTGAACTGAAAGCGTTTATGTAGCTTCTGATTACTTTGCAGTTGCTGGACCAGGGCGTCCATTTTCCCCCTTATTTCTCCCTTCTTCCTGCCACCCTCACCTGAGAAATATTAGGTATGTTTTGGCTCGGCTTGCATTTGTAGAACTAGTAGAAGAAACAGTATGGGACCAGGAGAACCTTTTCTATTTTAGGCCTTCTTAATGTTAATATGTCCAAAATAAATGTATCCTTGAAATTAAATGCTATGAAATAAACCTTTAAAGCCCTAAAAGCTGTAACCCCCACGTTTTGTACCAAGAGAAAGAGGAATTTAACAATTTTGGTCATTTCAAAATCACAATATTTAGTGACCCATAACAGGGAAAAATATTCAGCCTCATTCGTAATAAAAGGAATATAAAATAAAATGTTGCCAGACTATTTTTACCAATAATATTAGCAGGGTTTTTTGTTTGTTTGTTTCTTTGTTTGTTTGTTTTAAGAGAGAGAGAGCAGGGTAAGGAGAGGGGCAGAGAGAGGTAGAGAGAGAATCTTAAGCAGGCTGCATGCCCAGTGCGGAGCACGAAGTGGGGCTCGATCTCACCACTTTGAGATCATGACCTAAGCTGAAATCAAGAGTCAGACGCTTAACTGACTGAGCCACCCAGGTGCCTAATATTGGCAGTTTTTAAAGTGAGAGAAAGAAAGGAGGAGGAGAGGTGTTGAATTAGGCACCTTGTTCAGGCTGATGGAAGCATAACTAGGTATAACTTGCCTTCCTGTAAGGCAATTTAATAGTATTTACCGAAGACTGTAGAGTTGTTAATGCCTTCGACACAGTAATTACAATTCTAGGAGCTTAGCCTAAGGAAATAATCAGAAATGGATATAAATATAATTATAACATCAGGAACTTGGAAACAACCTAAATGTCTAACAACGAGGGATTGATTAAATGAACTCTGAAAATATATGCAGTGGGTTTTCTGCCACTAAAAATGGCAAACTGTTTAGACAAATAAAGATGGGGAAAAGTTTGTAAAATAATGTACAGTGAAAAAAACCCAAATCAGCATGAATCTAGTATTTTGAAATATAATCTATTTATATACACTGTGTGCATGTGTATGATGGCAATGAAAAAATTACATCAGGGTAGATCATCATCTCTAGCCGATGGAAATGTTGGTGGTTTTTATTTTCTTCTTTGGACTTTTGTGTATTTTCCAAATTGTTATATTTATACCCAGAAGAAGAAAGCCCATAATTTTAAAATGCATACTCTAGAATACTGTGTACTGATACAACTATGTGAAAATGTAAGGAAAAATAGCTTAATGGGAATTATGACAGAATACCATCAGTGACTTTTTTTTTTTTAAAGATTTTATTTATTTATTTGAGAGAGAGAGAATGAGAGATAGAGAGCACAAGAGGGAAGAGGGTCAGAGGGAGAAGCAGACTCCCTGCTGAGCAGGGAGCCCGATGTGGGACTCGATCCCGGGACTCCAGGATCATGACCTGAGCCGAAGGCAGTCGCTTAACCAACTGAGCCACCCAGGCGCCCCATCAGTGACTTTTGATAGGGTGATGGGACTTGGTGGTGGTGGGGTTTTTTTTTTCCCCACTTTTTCTTGAGAAATAATTGGCATTCATCACTATATAAGCTGAAGGTGTAGAGTATGATGGTTTGATTTACATATATCATGAAATGATTACCACAACAGACTCAGCTAACATCCACCATTCCATATACATACAATAAAAAGAAAAGAAAGAAAGGAAAAGAAATTTTCTCTTTGTGATGAGAACCCATAGGATTTACTCCTCTACCAATATTCAAATATCCTGTAGAGCAGTGTTAGCTGTAGTCATCATGTTGTACATATTATATCCCTAGTACTTATCTGTCCTATAACTGGAAGTTGGTACCATTGACCACCTTCATCCAATTTTACCCCCTCTGGTAACCACAGGTCTGATCTCTTCCCATGTGTTGTTTTTGGGTTTGTTTTTAAGATTCCATATGTAAGTAAGTTCCTACGTTATTTGTCTTTTTCTGACTTATTTCACTTGGCATAATGCCTTCAAGGTCCATCCATGTGTGTTGGCTTTTTAATATTTTTTCTTTAATGTGCTTCTACTGAGAATGTATCTTTTATTAGGAAAGCAAATATAAAATAAATGTAGAAAAATACCTTAGAAATCCATGCCACATTTGAATAGAGGTAGTACTTACTAGATAGTCTCTTGTGACTGTGGTCCATCTTGAGGATGGTGAAAAGTATTAACAATGGTGGTACATGATAGATGTTTTCTTTGCTCCTACAGATATTCCTGAAATTCCAGAAAGCATCTCATTCTGTAAAGCACTACAGATAGCTGACTTCAGCGGAAACCCACTGACTAGGTAACTTTCTGCTTGCTTTGCTGTCTATAGTACTGAGGATATCATTCTTGAGAACCAAGCCACGAACACAACCTGGTCACACCTTGTGGGGGTACCTAGATGGATGGCTGTCTTTATCAAGGATGATTGATCTTCACAGATACTTATTTATAAATCACACTGTGCAGTGAAAGGCACACTTGTGCTGTTGATGGAACATTGAAAGAATATTGGTAGGGGATGAAGGGAGGCACTGTGGAGTATACAAAACAGGAATGAGGACTACATTTCTGAAGCCGTGTGAAGCATTGAAGTAGTTCATAAATCCCCTATTGATTATCTTGTCTTGTGGGATAAGACTGAGTTCTAAACTCCCAGAGAACTTACCCTCTAGTTATCCAAGGAGAAGTCCTAATAAGGGATGTTTTTTCCACTCCAGTAATGAAACTGTCTATAACTGTCCTCCAGCTCACCCTTTAAAACAAACAAACAAACAAAAACTCTGCCCACACCACTATTTCCTTACTTTAGCAATAACTGTGAGGATTTCTTTGGGATTCTTCCTCCACATAGAGCCACCTGTCACTGTTTTACTACTGATTCCGGGCTTGCTCCTTCTAGTATGACACAGCACACTGCCTGGACGGAGCTGGGTGGCACTGTTGTGAGCCCTCCTGGCTCCTGGCTGAGTCATGAGGCCACTGATCACTGGCTTCCAGGTGCCTGTGTTGCCAGGTTACCCGAATTGTTGCGCACCTGGCAATGCAGAAGTGGTCCCCAGGAAAAGTTCTAGAGGTATCTCTAGGCCAGGTGGGTCCATATCTATGATTTCTAGACTCTGTAAGCAACCTCAGAAGAAAGGTACCCTTCCCTCTTCCCTTCTGTTCTTTTTTTTTTTTTTTTTTAAGTATATAGGAAAATTGAGATGAGGTTAAAATTTGAGATACGTATCACCCATTGCTTGGGTCTTTCTGGGTATGGAGTGCCAGGGAATGTCTATTTAGTGTTGTTTTCCCCATATCTGCTATTTTTAAGAAGTAAATATGTTTTAAAAAATATTTTTGATTTTCCTCTTTTGAATTTCAGTGACTATGTTACTAATAACCTCTATTTTTATGAAAAATAATAAATCTAGTAAGCTCTAATTCATCGCTGCCCTCAAGTCTTGTCTTCTTTCTTAACCATCATCCATACAATTGTCCCTCTTCTTCAAACCTTTCTGTACCTCCCTGTTCCTATGAGGTAAAGTCCCTGCTCCTCCAGGTGCTATGCAGCCTCCCCTGCCTTGGATCTGAACTTGACCTGTCTTTCCACGTTCATTGCCCTCGGTTGCCTGTGTCAGACGTCATGCTCGGCTGTTATAATGTGCTCATAGGTCATTTGTTTCACTCTCTGGTCTCTCTGCACTCCTGTAAGGTGTATATTCAGCATGACATTTCTTTGGGAAGCCTTTACTTACTACTCCCTAGAGTCCCCTCTGCTGGGCTTTTGAAGTGTTCTCTCCGTACTTTTTTCATTAACACTTGAAATTTACATTTAAATTATCGCTTTGACCAAGACTCCCCAATTAAACTGAGAAAGTTAACTTATATTCCTCTATTGTTTATCATTTTATCTCCAGCTCTCCCTTAATTTCTGGAATGGAGTAAAACACTCCGTTAAGTATTTGTTGAACTGAACTAAGCTATTTATCCTTAAGGCAGCTTGTAGGGTTAGGCAGCTGGGAAATACTCATTATGCTGCCCTGGAGGTTGTTTTTTTTTTTTTTTTTTTTTTTTTTTTTTAGCCATTCAATTGCTTAATCCCCTTTTCTACCTCTTTAGTTTTCCTTTTCTAATGCCTGCTGACACATGACTTTAGCATTATCTCAAAACTCCCTGGACCAGAACACACCCACATTGTAGGAGGCTTTACTCAGTTTTTATCCTGGCCTGACATATGGGAGGTTTCTTAAAGTAAAGCCTTTTGGATTTGGCAGGTGCAGTCCTTTAAGAATTGCGACAACTTATCTGTAAGGTGAAAGGACCTGAAAAATTATTGAGTTGGACCTACTTATTTTATGGCTGAAGAAACGAGGCTGAGAGATTAAATGGCCTTCTGAGATGATGCGGCCTCTGAGCAGCAGCTTGGACTAGAATTCCCTTCCCCTAGCCCAAAGTCTGTGCTTCCTTCTCACACACACCAGTTTGGCTCTTAATGCTGACAGCCAATAAAAAAGGAAGTCAGCCATTTCAAAATACATTTTCCTTATATTTAAGATCATTTTAGCTAGTTTTAAAATTATGAAATGATATGTGCTTTCGGTAGAAACTCAGGCAGCAAAGTTGCATCTTTTTAAGTATAAATAAACCATCTTAACCTCTGTTACGCTATGGAAGAAGTTTCAACTTTGTCGAAACCATTCCTGAGAATGTATCTGAGTCATAATAAAATCCTAGAACTCTCATCTTGCAGGGCCTGGATTTACTTTTGAAGTTTGGAATTACCTATATTTTATGTCAAACAGTAACCTAGAATTTGCTTTTTAAAAAAGGAACCTAGAAAGAGGAAAAAAATGAAAGATTCTAATGTATAGAGACTATCACTAAGAAGTCCTCCCTCCCCGCGCCTCCCCCCGCAAAAAAATGAGTCATGTGTTCTGTTGTCTGTATCAGCGGATTTACGTATAAGGACCTTTGGCATTTTAGATGCAATGAGATCTTTTTAACTTTAGTTTTCTTTTTCCTCCGTAACTGGAGGTAACCATAGAAATACTGAAAGTGAACTTTCTTTGTAAGTTTTTGAATACTTTTATTTTGAAACCTCACTCTTCAGTAGAGTTTAAGGGAAGTATAAAAAAATTTCCTTTTGTGTGGAGCATAGTGAAACATAGAATTATCTCAAGTGACTGGCATCTTAAATTGAGTTAAAAGAAAAATATTAAGAAAGCAGCAATTGCTGTCAATTGATCAATTCTGAGTAATCCATAGCTTTGCCCTAGGTATTATAATCTAGAGGAAAAAAGATTATTAAGCTGCTGTCCTGTGTTTTGTTATAATCTTCTGGGCTAAACTTTCTCTTTATTTTCTGCTAATCAATAAAATGTTCTCCCTCATAGGCACTTTCAGCTGCAGCAGCTGTTTATCTGTTTCTTTCTTGAGGCACTGGGCAGTGCCACAGCATTTTTTTTTTCCCCTTTATTCTGAGAGCTTGCGTTATCTTTTCCTCTGTAATTATTTCTGGATCACCCCACCAAGCATTTATCATGCCCCTGTACTTCTAGGTAAACCAAGCCTTGTTTTTTTTCCTTATTGATGTCTTCTGTCTAGGAAGACAAGGCAAACATGCCTTTTATACTGTGATTTTTAGGAGGTTATTTCAGTTAGCATATGGGAGAAATCATCACACTTATGTCCCGTATACACCATACATGCACTTTTCTTTTTCAGTTAACAACACTGTTGTCATTGCTGTTGCAGATTGCCGGAAAGCTTTCCTGAATTACAGAATTTGACGTGTCTTTCCGTAAATGACATCTCACTGCAGTCCCTGCCTGAAAATATTGGCAAGTAAGTTTTTATGTGAGGTTTGTGTATATCAGGGCGAGAGGGTGTTGATAGCATCAACTTCAGCCTCCTTTTCTTTTACAGCTCTTATTTTTCTACTCAGAAAGCCTTTAACCTGATCTCGAATCTCACCCTCAAGAAAGATCATAGCCGGACTCCAGTGTTTTTGCTTTCAGTTGCCCCTAAATTTAAAGGGTTAAACAGGATAATGGTACTTGTTACTAGTGAACAACCTAATTTGTTTGGACGTGCTCTTCAAACTGTGGGATTCCAAAGTAGTTAACTTAAGCAAACAAAGTAGCGCTGGTCATATAGGCGGTTGTTAATAAATACTGTTAGGAATTACCACTCTCGGCGATTTTATTGAAAACTTGGAGTAGGTACCCCTGAACAACAACTGTGTCCACCAGTGTTTGTCCACACAGACCTGAGAATAGTGGGTGGGAATGGTGTGTTTGGAGAGACGGATGGGGTGGGATGGGCACATTTCCATGTTCCTGGCTTAGAGGTCGGGGAGGACTGCCATGGCAAGAAATAAAAATGTTCTCTTACTCATCCCCTCAATGAATTAATTATCTCAGCAGATCTTTTCCGTACCTCCAGGACATACAGTGAGTTAAGTCAGGCTGTGACTCATGCTTTACCACTTAAACTAAAAGCCCAACCTGGCTGGCCAAAGCTAGTGGACCAGTGTTCCCCAGTGTCATAAAAGATTTCCCTTGTGCTCACCTGTCCTGCCTGAGTTCTAAGACAAATCAGAAACTTTGTTTTTGAGAACTGCAGTGTATCTGACAGATGTCCGTTCTGCAAAGGGTCTCTTTCCAGAGAGAGGTCTGTGGAAGTAGCCTGTTTTTCACCGACAACTTTGCCCCCTCCCCCCAACTCCTGTGCAGGCGGAAGACAACCGGCTGACCCCTGTTTCTGCCGGCACATTCATGCTTTTCTGAGATGCAAGCTGTTTAAACATTTTTGTCAGTAGACTTGCTGATGCAGATTTGTGTCCTTAATGTCTCAGGAGGGGAAGGAGACGGGAAGCCCCCAGTACACCCTGAGTTTATGGGATCTGTTGCAGAGGAAACAATAATGTTTTACTGTGGATTTCATGACTTACCACTTTTGCCGTGACAAGATTCGTGTATTTCTAATGAATGTAATAGCCATTTAAATACCTAAACTGACTCCCCTTCCCCTCGGGAACCTCTGGAATCTAATTGCCTTGATACCCTCCTTCCCATTTTTTTCTCAGCCTACCACTGCCTACGTGTTCACCCCTTCTATCCCCCAATTCATATCTTTTTTAAAAAGCCTGAATGCTTTGAGAGAAAATATATTGTTATTAGACAAAAGTGCCCCTGTCACTCCCCACTGCATTGTTTTAATGGAAAATGTTACTTAATCATTTTAGAATAAATTACATGTCCTTTATTCCATCTTTTCTGTTAGTATCTGTAACTGCTTTTGTCAATGTTCAGGATTTCTTGTGTATCTGCATATTCTGTCAATAATAAGGGTACTGTTTTGTTTTGATTTTAGACTATATCATCTTATGTTACTGTTATAGCCTTATGTAACCGATTGCTTCCAAAATAAACTGTCACTTTGAACTTGTACCCTGTGGTGAATCATCACCCAGGAAATATGAATATGGGGCAGATAAGTGAATCAACTGTTTCCTGTTAGGTCAGTTTGTGAAAATGGGAAATAGGGAGTTTTCTGTTCCTGGTTGTTATTATTTTCTTTAACCAAAGCAAGAGACTCCATGATTTCTACCTGTTGGATTTAAGATTTGCGCATGCTAAAGTAACAGAGAGTTCTCACCTAGTACAAACAAACAAAGAGCAGAGTCCTTGGAGAAGATCAGGCGCCTCTGGTGTCCTAGACCATTCTGGAAAGGCCCTTGAAACAGTTGAAATGGTGAAATCGCATACGTGCATAAGTATACTACATTTTTAAGCAAGTCATTATTTGAAACTTACGAACTTTCCTCGCAAAAACAATTCTTCAGTTTCCCAGAGTTTGGGAATCCTCTGGTTTCTTTAGGGCACTGAACCAAAATATTTAGTAACCAAACAACTACTCAGAGATAGTATGATTCTGTAAATAAGGCACAAACATCTGATATTCCAAAAAAATTTGAAAAGGACCTGACATGGCCATCTGAATGATCATACCTACTGTTATCTTTGTAGATTCTGAAATGGGAGTTGTTGCATAAATTAACTCTGCTTATTTGGTCAGATGAGTCAGCCACCTCAGTGTCTGCCTTTTGAGCATCACTGAAAACGGGACCTCAGTTTCTCTTTTCGGCACCTAGCACAGTACTTGGCATGAACTGGGAAAGTTATGGATCGTCAGGGACACAGGCCCCCTCACGATGGGCAGGAGCGTCCAGCCTGGAGGAGAGCGCGAAGCCTTTAGAGCAAGCCAGCTGCAGTGCCTCGCAGCTGGGGCGTCCAGTGGGCGCCTGCCCCACAGTGTGTTTGGTTTGCCGATGGTCGGGTAACTGGAGGTGTGTTTGGGGGTTGATGGCGAAGTTGGGGCTGGAGCACGGCTCTCCTGGTCCCCGCCCCGTGTTTCCCACTACTCCTCACACACTCCCCCTGCAGCACCGTCGGCTCCCACGGCCCTCGGGGGCCAAGGAGCATTTTCTTAGTGGCCCTGGCGATACCTAACTTGCTCCATTATTAAATAAGTAAGTCTCACCAACTTAAGTCTTTTTGTCCTGACAACCTAGTAGCTGTTTGAAAAAGTAATACCTTTAAGTGGAAAGAATAAATTATTTCATTTTTAAACATTGCCAAATATTTGCTGTAGGATGTAGGTCCCTGCTGGGCCCTGCCCAGCCTCTCTCACTGCCACCTCTTTTCCCATTCCACATTGATTTTTCACCTGGTTCTTGCCTTTTGTCACTGAAAACACAGCTTTGCAAAGATACGATGTCCTTGAAGGAACATCCTGCTGTCTAGTGCGGAAACTGAACGATCAGAGCTTGTGGTTCATGTGGTGTCTAACAGCTGTTGAGCCTTGCCATGTGTGTCTCTCTCAAGTGAAAAGTATTCTGTGGTGCTCCTGTGAGTTGGCTGCCGCTTCCCTGGGTGCCTCGGTGCGCAATAGCCGAAATTGTTGCCCCCCTGAATCCTTGAGTGCCCTGTTAGGAATACTGGGGAGTGCAGAGCCTCAGCCACTGGTGTGTGGGAGGAAACCAGCATCACACAGGTTGTCGTACCTTCAAGGGGCTACAAAGCGCTGCAGTACATGTCCTGCACTTCATAGCCAGGTACCATCAGTGTGGTTACTTTAATAAAGCAAGTCTCTCAAATAGTAGAATCCTTTTAATACTTTGCAATGAGATGAGGAATAATCATGAAAATCTTTTGAACCATGTTGGAGTACACTGGTTACCTCATGAAAAGTCACACATTTTCCTTTTATTAAAAAGTAAGAATGTCCCAGATTTGCTGACCCTTTTCTGTGATGGCACGTCAGCACATTACCTTGTCCTTCAAAGTAAAGGTGATGTTTAGAAAGAGTGAGAAACTAACTCGCCTTCAATAGATTTTGTTTTTAAGACTCTTGTTAAAAATACAAAAACACAGCAACTTCTGATTAGTCTTCATAAACAAGTGATTGATGTCAGGGAAGATGGCAATTTATCAGCAGAATTTCAACGAAGACCTTACCATAAGCAGAAGAAATTTTTAAAAAATTAGTATGATAATTTAATAAATGAGGCTGAGAATATGGTTCTTCTTGAATCAGTATAACTTGTGAAGAATTTTTTCACCTAGTATAGCCATTACACCAAGTATTAAAACAATTTAGAACCAATTGTTTTGTCCCTAAACGTAAAACAAAAGATTTGCTACATAATACAGTGCTCTCACTATTGAGAGCCCAGAAGATTTTTTTTATTTTTAATAAAATATTTTTCAATGCTTTATTTTTTACTTAAAAAACTTTAAGAGTACATGTGTATACTTCAGTGTGTGAGGACCACCATTCTAGAAGGGAATGTTTGGGAGTCAGTTAAGCTGGACGGTGGTCCTTCAGTTCTGCTTTTTCAGGTCCCTAGGGGTTGCACTGAAGTGTCTCTCGGGCACCCTGGAGAGTGAGAAACAGTGCTTTGGTGGGTGGTCTCTGCTGATCCCTGTTTGTGCTGGCACAGCTCTATTCTTAGCTTTTTAATTTTTTTCTGCAATGATGTTGCATTTCATATTTGCTTTAAAAAAGTCTGTAGTGAATAATTTTCAAGGTAAGTGTGGAGCCCACCGTGGCAGATGCCCAGTATTACTTGTCTGCTGCACCGTGGAGCCTTTACCGTGATGTAGACCCAGCGTGCTCTGCTCAACCCCAGCGCAAAGCTTCAGAGCCTTTCAAAAAAAGTGAGCTTTAAAATTGTTTCCCTGTTTCCTGTCTTTACCAACTGGCCGAAGGTTGTCCTCACTAAGTGACTGAAATTCTACCTCTTTTGTCCAGTCTTCTCCAATGACGGGAAGAGGTGACATAGATCCTCAGTGCACAGGTTCCCTGACCGAGGCTTTACTGCCCACACAACGAGCACGTTAGTCCTTTATCTGTACACAGTTTAGTGGTTCCGTGTTCAAGCGTTTACACCTGGCTCACGCTGTACCCTGAAAGTGGGGGAGTCTTTGGTTGTTAAACTCTCTTTGTGTCTGGACCGACCCTGGTGTTGCTCCAACATACAGAATGAGTACCTGGGACCAGGCACACAGAGTTACCGCCTTCACTCTGCTAGCTTCCAACCTGACACTGGAGGCATCCCAGTTAGGTTCTTAAAGCTTTGTGAGGACCACATTGGCCTGTTCCTATGCAGTCACTTTTCTGGCTTAATGCTATATAGTTGATTAAAGAAACAATTATGAAAGGAAAAAAAAAAAGATTTCCATTGCTCTAAAACCTTTTAATGAAGAATAATTATTGTCCATTAATATCGCTTAATTTCCCTGCTAAAAGGAGTCATTAGGGAGAGATTTTACTATGTA